CCCCCCCCCCACCCCCGCGTTGTGGCTGGAGCAGCGAGCTCCGTTACCAGAAGAGCAGCATGCGGGTCACAAGACCCAACTAGGAAACTACCTGGCTCAAAGTTTTTTCTTAAAAAAATAAGTTAGTTCCTTCCTCCCCGCTCAGCTCAGTAACTTCCTTCAACCCCTTGTCCCTCCCCTCCCCAGATCCCCACAGCCGCAGCAGCAGCAGCAGCAGCCGCCGCAGCCCCAAGCTGTCAGAGGTCAGCTGAGCCCCCAAACCAAAGGCAAGATGCAACCCCTCGCTTTCCCCTGCTCGCTTTCCTACAAGGTGGGGAACGCATTCTTCCCTGCCTCGCCTCCATGGCTGCCAAGTGCGGGTACAGAGCGGGGCACTGGCAGGAGGGAAACAGCCAGGAAAGTTTTACAGGCAAGCTGCCAAGCATGAGCAGAAACAGAGGGATTTTCCGGACTGCCAGCATGGCACTAGGGGAGAGAGACTGATAGGAGATGAGCTCCCAGCCAATGTTGTTATGCTCTCATAGTGCCATGTCCCACAAAGCTACTTGGCTTGCAGTGCCCCTGCTGGTTTTACCTCAGTATAATTCTGTATTATGATGTGACCTGCTGGAGAGATCGTGGGCCCCAGACCTCAGCCACCACCCTCTCCCTACCTGCATGGTGCTAGGTGCTGTAGATACAGAGCAAAGAGATGGTTCCTGCCCCAGAAAGCTGAGTCAAAAGGCACGTCTGCATGTGCACTTTAATTTGTTGTAGATAATTTTACTGCACGTTAAAGTGTCACATAAAAAGTGACATTACGCTAATGCTCAGTAAAATATTCTACTGTGCATTACGCATCACTAAAAAGTGTGAAAATGCACTACTGCGCATGAGCACAGTCTAACGCACATTAATTTAGTACCTCACATTGGAGGTACTAAATTGAATGCACATTAGAAAAGGCGCATTAATGCACATGTAGATGCGCCCAAAGTGTGGATCAAGGGAGGAGAGTTGGAACAAGGGAGATTAGGAGATGATATGGAGTCATTGAAACAAGCAGAGGAATTCAAAGGAATGAGGAAATGAGAAACTGATGTGTCTGGCACTAAGGAGTTGGTCATCAGTCTGGAGAGAAGAGGAAAGGGAGGAGGAAGATAGTGTCATATTCTGTTGCTTTTCTCTTGAAAGAAATCGGTGAGATCTTGTGTGCAAAGAGATGAAGCAAGAAGGGGGGAGGGGTTGAGGCACGAGTCCGAGGTGGTAAGAAGGCAGCTGGAATGGCTGGAGTGCGATTCACCCGAGCAGGAGAAATAGGGATGTTTCACATAGGGACTGGAAAGTCTCCAGGAGGAGAGAATGGCTCTGCAATGCCACAAAACAGTAGAGACATTCCTGGAAGGGAGACGTGGAGGAAACACAGGCCAGCTGTGAGTGGGGGATAACAGAGCAGACCTTGTGTTTAAAAAGAGCCAAGGTTGGAGGAGCATGAATAGAGAGACTCCACATATGTGGCAATAGAAGAAGAGAAGAGCGGGCAGGGAGCCACAGGGCTGATGAGAAGCCACTGAAGCTGATGAATGGGAAGTCACAGAAAAGCAGTGACCCTAAAGAGAAAACAAGCAACTAGTGCTGAGCCCCACTGAGGATAACGTGAGGCTTTCTAATGACCTCAGGGGGAGTCAGACCAGGCCTCTAAAGATCACAGACCCAGGGGACTGTGGATGTCACCTGAAAACCTAGGACCAGACAACACTGTGTCTCTTAAGAACAGAGAGGAGACTTGCTGTGCACTAATTCATGGGCATTTTACAGAGGGCAGAGAATGACCCACAGCCCCAAGTTTGTATGTGGCAGAAACATTTTCATTTGCTGTATGGCTATTCCCATCCTCTAGGCCAAAGGACCAGGAGGCTGGAGCCCTCTGAGAAGAGAAGAAGCCAGAAGTCCCACAACTGTCAGAAACTGAAGGTAAACCATTCCTAGACATGCTGGCAAACATGCTGGCAAACATCTCCTCACCAGCCACAAACCACGGCAAGACCCTAATGCCCCTTCATAAAGTCATCACAAAGCAAACTGAGTATCTCACCATCCCACAAGCAGGGCCATCTTGGATGCCACCTTGCTGCCCAGAGTCCACTCCACAGCCTCAGCCCGGCCCCAGGATAGTGTTGCATTAACCTTGGGGTTTTCTGCCTCTATTAAAAGTTCACATTGCTGTGCTGTCTTATTCAGTCAACACCTCTGGTTCTCTTTGTTCCCCATTCAGAGTAAGCACCAATGGCCAATAGTGGAGATGATCCCACTGTATTCAGCTGCACTGCACTGCCCTCAGACTCCCGTCTTCTTCCGACAGTCACCAACGCCTATCTGGGCACCCGAGTATATAGGGACATCCTCCATGTAAATGGCATCTATAATGGGGCCGTGGGGGACACTCACCGTGCTGATGTCCCCAGCCCCATCAACGTCAGAATGAAGGTATCCAGTAAGGATGGAGTGACCGAGACCTTCTCCTTGAACACCAGGACAGGTAACCAGTGAAGGCTCCAGCTTTCACATGGCAGCTACTTTCATGTGCTATCATGTCTTGTTTGCCAGCTCTTCTTTTCCCCTTATTGTCAGTGTCTCCCTTCTGAAGAGGTTAACTCACTCCCTACCAACACTGTCCTTTCCCATGGGGTCAGGAAGGACCTCTTAGTCTTCCATGAGACCTGCTCATCCCTAGTGTAACTCCACTGGCTTCTGGGAGAACTCCATTGGCTTATGAGAGCAAGGAACTGCCATATTAAGTTAGATTGGATGTCCATCTATCTCAGCATCATGTCTCCAACAGTAGGAAGCAGTGGGTGCCATAGAGCAGGGGTTTCAAACTGCTTTGGCCTCCTGGGTCAGATCCAGACCGTGGTTCTTTGTGGGTCAGATCTATGCAGTGAGGCAAGTGGTATCAGGGAGCCCAGCAGCTTAACACAGCTGTCACTCATCCTCCACCACCAAAACACAGCCCCAGTGGGACTCTGGACTTCATATTTTTGGTGATGGGCCTCCACTCTCCCCCACTGAATCCCAACACTTCTATAAACCCCCTCAGGTCAGATGATACAGCTGTGCAGGTTGTATATGTGACTCCCCTACCTTTGAGGGATTATATAAGGAACAGGGCACATGCAGAGTGACTCGTCCTGTGTCACATTCTCCCACTAATAATCATCACAGGATTAGGGATGTCCAGAGCCAGAGGCTACATCCCCAACTGCTATGTTTAACAGCCCCTAATGAAACAATGCTCGAAAAATTGGTCTAATCCATTTTGAACTCAGTTTTACTACATAATATCTGTTGTCAATGAGCACCATGGGGTAATTATGTATTGTATAAAAGAGTATATCCTTTGGTTTGTTTTAAACCTGTTGCTCAATCATTTCAACAATGTATCCCTTAGTTTTTTGTGTGCCTAAGACCAGAGTGAGCTTGGTTCTGCATTTCTACTGGATCCAGAACATGCCTTCATGTTTTCTTTCATGCCTGTGCACTGGTATCACTGGCTGCCATTGACCAAAAACATGAATGGCTCTGGGAACAGTGAAATGCATGGGAACATTCAGCTAGAAGAGCTCTTCTGAGAAATTCAGAGGTTAGTTTCATAACTAGTGGATTAACATCTTGAAAAATGAAAATTCCTATACAAAGAGATAACGGAGTTTACCCTACTTGAGTGCTGTGGACTTGTTTCACTTTAGCCTAACACTTTTAAGGCTGGTCATGTTGGAGCGGATGGATAGTTTCCCTTTAACCTGAGAATAAGGAATACAAAAGACTATTTTCAGACCAGGTCTGTGCACAAGCTGGAGCTGTGTTAAATAAATGGTGTTTGCCTGTGATATTTGGTAGAACAGTGTATAACACAGTGCACCACTGGCTGCCCCAGCCAGGTAAACTGTATCACCAGCACCTCACAAGCCAGAACTGCATTTAAACGTAGCTCTAGAAAAGATGGTACCAGCACAAATGTAGACAGTGGGCACATCTACACGAGATGCTACTGTGCAGTTACAACAAGCTACTGTGCAGTAACTCATTGCTACTGTGCAGTAGCATGGAGGGCACTAACTGTGACAATTGTTACTGTTCAGTAGTGTCAGAAAAAAAATGTTTGGGGACACTACTGCACAGTAACAATTGCAAGTCCTCTGCTCATGTAGACACAACCAGTGTAGATCAGTAGATCTGACTCTGGGTCAGAACTTTGAGCCTGGATGCAGTTTAAGATCCAGGTCACCATATTATCTAACTTCACTATCTCTCAGTCTAAACACCGGACACTTAAAAAAGGCTAAAGGTGGCCCAGATCTTGAATCCCCAAGTGTAGGACAATTCAGATTCAGTTTCAAGTATACAGGCCCACTGATCCTAGGCTCAGTTACATGGGTGGAAAGCTAGTGTGAGTGAGTAGAGAATCACGCCCAGGAAGCCTAAATCCAGAGTTTACTGCTGGGGTTTCATAGATTTCATAGATTGCACAGACATTAGGGCTGGAAGGGATTTCAGAAGATCATCGAGTCCAGCCCCCTGCCCCAGGGGCAGGAAGTCATCAGAGGTTATAGGATCCCAGAAAGATGAACATCCAAATGTCTCTTGAAGGTGTTCAAAGTAGGTGCTTGAATCACCTCTGGCGGCAGTCTATTCCAAACCTTGGGGGCTCAGACAGTAAAGACGTTAAAATCCAGTCCTTTCTTTTGTGACCAGGCACATAATTGCATGTTGCTAATAAATCCCTGCGGGATTTCCCCAAACTGGGGACATTTATATTTCTTGGAGGAACTGGGTGCAGTGCAGATACCTGCTCCAATGAAATGTCTCCCTCCCTTCCCCTCTTGAAACAGAAAGATCCTCAATGGGATTCAACACAAGTACAGGGGTCCTCCCCATACAGCTCTGATAACCAAACCAGGATCACAATCTAGAGAGCAGGCAGGAATGACTGAGAAGGCAAGCTCCAAGGGATCACTCTGTGTGTGTCTGCAGGGACCTTCAGCCATGTACTTCAGTCTCCTGAGTACACAGCCACCCACAGGATCTATGCCCACCATGCCCGTGTGCACCTGCTGGCCTTCAGCATCACCATCCAGCGAACAACGACCAAAAGGCAGCCCATCACAGTGCAGCTCCAGACTCAGTTCACCCCAAAGAGCCCAGATGTGGACTTTAACCGGGGGCCGGATTACCAAGGAGCTCAGTGAGTATGACCATGGAAGGGTTCTCCCAGCAGCGATGCAATCTAGGGAAGAAAGGACTTTCCCCTTCTCCAAATGTAAAGTAAGTGACAAGAATAAAGAGAACAGCTGGGGTTCTCCTCTGTCATCCAGGGCTACGTGGCCTTGAAGAGCATCAACCATTCTCTAGAGGATTAGGGCCTGACAGTCCAGCTTCTTGGGGATGTCCAAGGCTCTCCATGCTTGTGGAGGTGCCATGTGTCATGGCTGTGGACACTTTGATTGTAACAGCAACATTGGATAGAATAGAAGACAGAGAACCCAAAAGCTGAGAATTCAGGTGTCTCCCTGCTGACCAGAACCACCCACCCCTGTCCAACTCAGGGAGACACCTCACTTGCCTTCAGCTGAAAATTCATCATCACTATGATTATCATAGAAATTATCATTACTATGATTTTTTTAAAAACAGTTAGCACAAATGTCCCAGTAGTTGGTGCCTTCCCTGAGGAGTCTTGGGCTTCTCCAAGACCTTGCAGGCAGGTCTTGTCCAGGAGAAGATGTTTTGCTATTGGTATTATTCTGCATTCCCCTCACAAGCTCATGGAAAATGACCACATGAAGGAAGAAAGGGGACAAATTAAACAGCAGAGGAGGGGAGAGAGGGTGTTTCAATGGAGAACCCAAATCAGAAAGGAATTTTTTCCCTTGGTCATCTGTCCATCTTCTGTATCTATCCCTGTGTTTTCTTGCCCCTTCCCCTTCTGTACCCTGCTGCCCTTCCCATACCATAAAACAGCAGCAGATGGAGACTGCAGTCTGCAGTGTAAACATGCTCTCGATTAAAGGCACTAAGTGGGGACTCAGGAGATCTGGGTACAGTTCCTGGCTCTACTGGCTCAGTCCTTCAAGGGCCCAGTGTAGTGGGAGGGGGGGTGTATGTTGAATGGGCTCTATTCTGTACAATATTACAGGGCAGAGCTACCACTGCCATGAATTGATGTAACTCTGCTGAGATAAATAGAGCTACACTGGCTTACCCCAGCAGAGGGTCTGGCCTGTGGAGAGTTTATTTTGTACCCCCTGCTCTTCTTTCTAAACACTGAGCAGGCTCAGCAATTTTCCACTCTGTTTGATGCCTCTTCTAGATACATCTATGGGAAAACCTTGATCCCAGAAGTGGAGGGCGGCCCCCAGCCCACTGTGCACATGGTCTGGACCCCGGTGCCACAGGCTGTGATCCTGTTGGGTGAAGAGCAGGAACAATCCTGGGAGTTCGTGACTGCAGTGGCAGAGAGCGAGGAGGGAGTGAAGAGGCACTTCCAGGAAGGAATGTCCCTGGTTGCTGCTGGCTCCTTATACTCCTCTCACACACAGGCCTGGGCGGCACGGTGGAGGGGATGCTGTATAGATGTGGATGGGCCTCTCCTTTTGAAGCAGGCTGTGTATGGATGCCTCTATTACCTGCTAAGTGCTATTCCTCCCCTTGGGTCTTCTGGCTTCCTTTTCCATGGGATGAGTCCCGGTGGGTTATCCAATGGCACACAGGGAGAAGACTACTGGGGACATGTGTTCTGGGACCAGGTGCGTTCCCAGCTGTACTTCCAGCTGTGTGTTCAAGACCTCTAGTCTACAGCACTCCCAGGCCCTCTAAGACCCAGTACCAGGCTGTAGTAAGGCCATGTCCTGCTACCCAGGTGGCCAGTTGGGTGTGGGTGTGCATCTAATAGTGCTCAGAGGCTGGGGAAATGGCTGGTATCACTCGTTTTGGAGAATGGGGACCATGCTGTGCCCAGACCCTGTCCTCATGACTTAGAACCTGATGGGTGACCAGAGATAGGCAGGATTAGCATGCTCCTGCAGCAGCGTGAAATCTTGAGATGTCACCATGCTCAGCTCAGAACATCTCCTCTGTCTGTAGAGCATCCACAGTGTGAGCACCACTCCTTTCCCAGTGTAACTGGTCTGGCTGGTCAGCCTCCCCCTGGCTGCACAGCATCCCTGAGCACACAGCCCACTGCATGAATATCTTCCCACTGAGCGTACCAGGAGAACTGCTTGGACCTCCCCAGCAGGACACAAGCTGGATTCAGCAGCAGCATTGGTGTGGATATTCAGGCATGGTATGAAACGCCTAAGGCAGTTGTGGCTACAGCTGTGTGGCCACAATTGCCTCATGTTATTTCTACCATGTTAAAGGAGCAGCATCTCTGACTCATTACGATGTTGCCATTGACAGCTGTGGTCTCATGCTGTGAGCATGGATCCTAGATCCCCCAAGGCAATGAGTGCAATTCTTGGCATAAACATGGTGTTGTCTCTGTGTTCAGGCCCACTCAGCACATCAGGGCCTCCCCTCATGTCACTAAGCGCACTCTCTGTTTTCAGGACACCTGGATGTTCCCCAGCATCTTGCTGTTCCACCCAGAGGCAGCCCGTGCCATCCTAGAGTACCGCATAAGGACACTAGATGGAGCCATGTGCAATGCACAGGAGCTGGGATATAAGGTAGGAGCCCAACCTGGCCGGCTTAGGGAGCTGGCAGAAAATGCCCTGGCCAGGGGGCCTGCACCTGCAGAGGTGGTGCTGTGCTCAGGCAGGTGGCCATGCTCAGCCTCCCACTGGGTATTTCCCTCCGCCAGGGTGCTAAGTTCCCATGGGAGAGTGCAGCCACAGGCCGTGAGGTCTGCCCGGAGGAGATCTATGGAGCTCAGGAAATTCACATCACTGGGGACGTCCTGCTGGCCTTTGAGCAGTATTACCACGTCACACAGGTAACCAAAGCACATGCAGGGGTAGGACAGAAGAGAGGGCAGGCCTGAGGAACTAATACGTCAGCCTCCTAGAAAGCTTAGATGTGAAGGCTGCTTGTGATTCTCAGCCTCTTGTCCCAGAGCAGATCTTCTTCGTTATCCTCTTCCCTTTGCAAGCATATTTCCCCTTCCTCAGCCCTGGCTGTCTTGCTGGACTGGCCTGACATCTTGTTAACTACACCAGGGCTAACCTTTCCTTCACCCTGTCCCCTGTAACCTGTCTA